TAGATCTGCATGGTGACTTTTTTCTTTTTGCTTAACCCATGAATTATTAAGGGACATGGTAAAATCTATGACTCTGTATATGCAAATTTCCTCATTGTGATGTGTTTGTCATTATTTATTCTGGGGTTTTGCTTTAGAATCTTTCACATTCACTGGTCTTTAATCTTCTTGATAACTTGTTCCTTTACTCTGTTGTGATGACCTTCTGGGCCAAGTATCTCCTCTCTGAATGTATTCAGCTGTTTCTTTCCATCTGAATTTCACTCTGTCTTCATTCTCATCCCTCTGGATCACTCCCTCTGTGTCTATGAGGTTTAGCAATATTCAGTGTAAGTCATACACAGAGGACTGCTCTTATGGAGCATTATTAATCCAACATGAAAATCGTTACCTAATTGGCAATTTAAATTTGTTCTGCAGTTTATGATGAAGACAATTTGAAACCAAGATAGCTGCTGCTCAGCACGCATTTTATATGCCTTCTATGTCCCCAACCTTGCTTACAGCTGCATTGGATGCATGAATAATTGTGGCCAACCAGACATGGCCCAGGCTACACAAGTCAATATGTAAGTGCCGGCATGTTTCTTTAGTCTTTGACTATCTTTACCAATACAACTGGGGCAGCAGTACAACTGTAAACGGGGACAAAAGTTGTACAATGTGCATTGAGTCGTGTAAGACAAAAACATAAATTGTGCTCAGCCTTTGAAATTTCAGGAGCCATTTTTTTTTTAATTTTTAAATTTCATTTATGTGTGTGTGTGTGTGTGCGTGTGTGTGTGTGTGGCCAGCTCAGCCCACCAGGGGGCGGGGCTGGCTGGCATGTGGTGCTGGGGGATTGAACCGCGGTCCCTGTGCTTTGTTAAGCTTGTTCTAAGTAGGTGCTTTAGACCACTGAGCCATCTCACCAGCCCCTGGGAGCCATTTCTTGAGGCAACTAGTAATAGTTATCTTGATTTCTGTACTTGGATTTAATTATATCACATTTAAAGTTTTATATGTACCATGGGTTACTGTTTGTTCTTTTCTGTTTTGTGCCTTTTATGGAATTGAAAATTCTCCACTTTATACATTTTTACTCTGAATATAATGAGATGTAATGCTCCTGGAGTATATTGGATTATTGTGCTGAATTCACACACCTACAATATTTAAATGACAATGGAATACCATCTCTGACAAAACTAAACAAAAAGGGGATACAAATGAAGGACAATTTTGTATCTGTATATTCAAAATAGTTAGGATAGATAGACAGCTACTTTCTCTTAACTGAATGAGAAGAAAGATTTGTACTAATAGTGTGTGTGGACAGGATACCATGTCTGCATCTTGTACTATGAATAACCACTAAGAAGACAACACTATGCAATGCATTAATTATTGAAACTGTTCTACTAATCGGTTTTGAAGCTGTCTCATTGCTATTTCTCAATAAGATTATTAAAAAATAATGGGATGTAATGGAATATAGAGCTATTTTGATGGTTAATATTAGGTGACAAGATTATGGAGCAGATATGAGGGTTTTGGTCAAGTCCCAGTCCAGGAACTCTTATGAAGATAGTTTTTAGATGCCATCCACTGATAGGAAAATAGTGTGAGCTTTTTACTAATGTCTCATTTCTTAAATAATATTTCTTATGTAAAACCAACAGATAATACTCTGCATAACAATACTCTTACAAATTTAAATTGTATGCAGCCTTCTCCTGATTATAAAATTCCAACTTCTCATATTTTACTTTCAATTCCATCCTTAACTACCTGTGTGTGCGAACAGGCAGACTTCAAATCTTAAAAATGAAGTTGCTTTTAAAATACAGTCTCAATTATGTTTACAGGTTGTTTCTATTGCTCATTTGTTTCTTTTCTTTTGTGTTTCTTTTTTATGCATATGGTACAGGCTCTCACTACACAGCTTGGACTCATAGGGATCCTCCTGTTTCCAGCTTCCCCAGCACTCGGATTATAGGCCTGCACCACCACACCCTCAGTAGTTGGCTCCGTGCACCCAGTAGCGGAGCTGGCAAGGCATGTGGTGCCAGGGATCAAACCCAGATCCCTGAACTTGGCTAAGCAGGTGCTTAGTCCACTGAACTATCTCATCAGCCCTCTGTTTTGAAAATTTTAAAAAAGTTTTTAAAAATTTTAAATTTTTTTAATCTTTTAAAAGATTTATTTATTTGGTACAGGGTCTCATTATGCAGTGCAAATTCATAGGGATCCTCCTGTCTCATCCTTCTCAGTGTTGGAATTACAGGAAGGCACCACCATACCAAGTTTCAGTGGCTGGCATGGTATGCAATACCGGAGGTCAAACCTGGGTCCTTGTGAAGCCAGGCAGTCAGGTGCTTAGACCACCAAGCTATCTCTCCAGCCCCCACTTGGTTCTTTTCCTACAGTATTTTCTTTCTTTCTTTCTTTTCTTTTCTTTTTTTTTTTTTTTTTGCAGAACCAGGGATTGAACTCAGGCCTTTGCACTTGCCAGGGAAGCGCTTAGTCTACTGAGCCATCTCCCAAGTCCTCTCCTACAGTATTTTCAATCATTCATTTTGTCTTCTCAAATTATCTTATCTCTGTTTTCTTCATTTCTCAATAAAGTAATGTGCTACTTTATATAACACGTCTTTTTACTCTGCAAATACACTTACTATTTCTTTAATTTTCCTTCCCAATTCATTGCAAGCAATCATTTCTTCCTAGGGTCAGACTCAAATGAGGAGAGGACTAATCTATATTGCTATCCTTCGACTTCTTTCATAAATAATAATTTTGATTGCAACTTTGTGTGTTTGTCCACAACTATAATAACAATACCAGATCTCTTGCTAACTTAATGTTTGACAGGCATGTTTCTTTTCTAGAAAAATCTAGCTGCAAGATAATGATCTCTTAAGATGAATGTGTAATTCATTCTACTCGTAAAATGTAATGCAATACACTTTCTGGCACAGATGAGTCTTTTAAAATTTGCTGATAGCCATTTAATAAATCAGTAATTCTCTTTAGTATCTATCTTCTGCTTTTTCAGACACTTAATTATTTTTACATGGCTTGTGGAGAGAGAAGGGGATTAATAATAACTGACGACATGTTAGAATACATGGCACCTCATTGTAGATTGGTTCCCCTATCAGGCATAAGCAGCAGTGGTAAGAAGTAAATACACATTTCATTTCAGTAACAACTGAGGGTTTCCTGCATATGAAGTGCTAGGGCTGGCCAGATAGCTCAGCAGACTAAAGTGCCTGCTTAGGCAGAGCACAGCTGCCGGGGTTCAATCCCTGATGTGCTGCGCTGGCTCCGCCCCTGGGGTGTGCTGAGACAGTGACTGAGACTGGGCGTGGTGGTGCGCGCCTGTAATCCCAGCACTTGGGAGGCTGAAAACAGGAGGATCACTAGGAGTCTGATCCATGTAGTGAGACCCTGTAGACCCTGTCCTAAATTCACAAAAAAATGAAAAATAAAAAAATAAAGTGCCAATACTAAGTGTGGGTTAAATTAAATAGGTCTCGAACACAAAGTGTTAGAAGACACTTACAAGCAAGAAGCAATAAGAGCAAGACTTTCATTTATACCAAAGACTCCAAATGGGCATGAAGTGTGTCCGCTGTCATAGCGCTCACTCATTCACGCACGCTCGCCGGGCACCAGGCAGGCCGCATGCTGGGACTGGTCATCCAGAAGCATACATTGGATGAAAAGGGCGACCTTCAAAGCGCAAGTCTTTAAAATATAATATGCTATCCATACAAATGAATAAAGTTTAGGCTGCATTTAAAACTAGTTTCATTTTGAAAAGAAAGTGAAGCATAGGAAAGTTATTGCAATGAAAATCACTACTTTGAATGAGAAATAAGTAGAGCACATGGTGTTGGCTGATCTCATTACAGAGAAAACACACCGAGTGGTACTTGCTGATGGAACGTGGAGTCTTCATCAAGATCACAGAATAACCCCCTGAGCCGATATCAATGATCTTTCATATTTCTGAGATCCAAGATAATATTTTTGCTCAATTTCAAAGCAAAGAAAATATTGATCTTTCTTCAACAATATTATTTATGTATATTTCATGCACAATCAAATATTTAATCAGGGTTTCTTCCTTTCCAAATTTCTGATGTATTTGGAAATTGTGTATGAAGCTAAGGGGTAAACAAGTGATGACTATGATCATTTTAATAAAAAAATATGCTTCTTGCAATGTGTTTATCAACCTAAAAGAGTATTGACAAGATTTATCTGACAAATTGTTTATAACATATTTCTTTAATATAAAGCATAAAGATTTCTCATTACTGATGATACTCAAAGACAGTGACATAAATTGAAACCTCCAAAAGCTACAATGTTAGTTCCAAATATATTTTGAACACTAACTGCAGCCTTAGGGTGAGTTTGCCAATTAAAAAATAATTTAAGGCTGGGGAGATAGCTAAGCAGCTTAGGTGCTTGCCTGACAAGTACAAGATCCTGAGTTCAATCCCCAGAACAACAACAAAAAAGGGATACAAAAAATAATTGAGATAGTTTTAAAGTGTATTATTTGATGTATTTGGTAAAAGGGGCACTTGGCCAAACTTCATAATCAGTTGCGTGTGATTGCAGGCAGTAGTATTCATTTTCAAGGGTTTTGCTTCTTTCAACTGATGACATTTGGAATAATACTGATAAATTTCTCTATCTGGAGGGTTCTGTGCCCCTGTCTTTGTTTTTGTGAGTTGGTGGCACAAATGTGCGTGGTATTTGTGCTGATTTCGGCCTCCTGACAGTGATCAGTGGACTGCTGAAAGAAGGGCTCTGGTATGATTGCAGCGCACTGAGAATTAATTTTGTATAATATTTGAAAGAAGCCTTCAAAAATGTTTCAAGACAAGTATCCTCATTTACTAGGTTTTTTAAAGAGCTCATTCAAATTTGCAAAACTTAGTTTCAGAATGTCGTGAGAAGCGCTGACCTCCATTCAGCACACAAGGTTATTGGCTTCTCACCAGTTTTGTGGCTTCCTGCGCAAGACCTTTGGCTTCAGCGGCAACTTTCTCAGCTTCCTCAATGTAGTTCTTAATATTGCTGTAAGCATTGAAGGCTGCGGTGGCATTGAAGGAGATGTTCTTAGCCTCATCAAGGATCCTGTGGGAAAGGACATGAAGGGAAAATCAGGGTGGCTAGCACTTAAGTGAGGGTCCTCCAAGTGATAAACGTGGCTACCACATGGTCATTCCCAGTGTGTGAGTTCCAAATCATAGCAAGTGTCTCCCACGTGGTATTGTGTCATTATTTCCAAACAATTCAGCTTTGAAATCTTCCCAACACATCTTAAACATTCATAGCATTCTACAGAAGCCTCATCAGCCATGTGCAGCAGGCAAGTGGGACAACTTTTCACTTTTTTTTTTGTACTGGGAATCGAACTGAAGGCCTGGTGCTTTCCAGGCAGGCACTATGCCACTGAGCTCTGAAACTTACTGCATCTCTAGCCTCACATTATTTTTGAAGGATGCAGTAAGTTTCAGAGCACTCGCGCTGCACTGAATGAATTTTGCAAAATCTCTCTGGATAAGTGCACTTCCTCTAGAGGAGGATGAAGAAGTCTCAGAATGTTGAGTGCTTTGCTTCAGATCATGTGACTAACACATCCCTAACTGACTAACACATCCCTAACTGACTAACAGAGGACTTAAGACCCCTGTCCACCAACTCCTGGCTCACTGTTATATCTCCCAACCTTTGCTCTAAATTGGCAAAAATCTAATATCGGGTGAGTTATACACACAATGTCTAGGCATTTCATACAATAACATTTTGCTTTGAATCAGTGATTACTAAGTGTGGAAATAAAGGTCTGCATGTGATGCATTTTAAATGTGGATTCACCTGAGAACCTTTTTCTTAGGGCTAAGACCTGCTGCATTGATTATGTCAATCACAGAGCTGCGGGGCAATGTACCAGCTAGACTTCCAGGGTTACTTGTAAGTCACATGGCCTTTCCCTCCTGCCTTTCTCTCTTCTGACCCAGGTTATATTGAGCAGCTGTAGTTAGCAGGTGTTTCACAGGGGAGGACACAATGCTGTCCTGCAGTTTTAAAGAGGGGAAGAAACAGACTGAAAGGCTGTGTAGAAGAGCACATTTTCAAAAGGCACCTTTTAACAATAAGCTGTTTTGATTCCACTGGAAATATAAAACTGCAATTTGAAGCAGGACTAGTGCTTATACATTATTATTTAAAATGTTAATAAGGCAACTGGTGTGCTTTCTAATAAAGAACAAAAACTCATTTTCTAACTGTAGCCTGAGGCTGTGTTCACTTCCTAACAAGCCATATTGGAATCCACTTTTAACTCAGACTTTTGATACTTCTCCAGCAGAGCTTTGCCAGCACTCGCCTAATTAGGATCTTCCATAGAAGGGCCATGTCGTTCTTTTGTTCGTAATTACAGAAATCAAGATTTGAAAGTGTTTCTCTAGCCTTGATGCCTGTCACCACTTCCAGATAAGTGTCAAAATACATAGACATTCCCGACAACAAGTGACATACCCATCAAGGACAGCAGAGGAGTCGTTCAACTGAGCTGCGTGGGTCTCTGCTTGGGACACCTTCTCGGCCAGCTTCCTGTCCTTGATTGCTTGCGAGAGTTCATTTATTTTCTCTGTAAGCTCCTCTGACATGGGCGGCAATTTAGTCTGAATGTCTTCAACGTACTGATGTGTACACAGAAGAGAAAGCATTCTAAGCAAGTCTCTTTGAATTTATTAATTTCTCTAATCCACAACTACATAGGATTTTCATGAAACCTAAACTTCCATAGCATAGCAAAAAGACCACAAAGAAGAATAAAATCCATTATTAATGAAAAAGGTTGGGAAATTTAGAAAGCCAGTATTTATCAAGGGCCATCTAGCTTTTTTAAAAAGTGTTACTTTTAGCTGTAAATGTATAAATGATGGTTGCCAGGATATTTTGACCACTTGTATTTCTATTATTATAAGTGACTGCGTAGCGCATCACATAGTATATCAAAAGTCTGTTTATAGACTTACATTTCTTTTTTTGATTAATGTTATATGATGCTTAGTAGATTGCAAGTGCTGCTCTAGGAATGAGGGAACTCCTCACCACCACGAAAAAGTAAAGCCAGGGTGCGTGAGTGTGAGGACCCTTATACAAGCATGCACATATATCTATTGTGAGCATAACATGAGGTCCTCTTGTTATCAATGGTGGGACCTAGTCCTAGTAGAGTAACACAGTTTTTTTTATTGCCAAAGAGAACACGTATTAGCATTTGCTTATATTAATGGAGAGCCCCTTCCCAGTTTTTAAGAGCCTACGGCATTGTTGTCTCTGTTAACTTAGAGTTTCATCAAATACTCACTTCTTTGATGGAGCTAATTTCCTCTGCAAGTCGGTTGGCTTCCCCAAGTATGTCATTGCCCTCTTTCAGAGTGTTCTCAATTTGTCGCTTGCCACTTTCCACAGCCTCCTTCTTTTTCTACAGAACAGGAAGAACAAGACATCACAGTGCCATGTGGGTAAAGCCCACCCAGGCTTGCTCCACTGTCTGCACTGAATTCTCTGAACAGCTCCACAGACGAGGCACTTAGAAGTTGCGTCATGGCTAGATGAGAATGATATGAGCTACTCCTGTACAAACAATACAAACTACTACCCAAGAGTTGCTCTAGTTTGAGCCTATGCAGGTAATTTCTTCTCATTTGAGAAAGTCATCCAAGCAAAGAAAAGTAATGTGAGAATAGTTAAGGAGTTAAAATTATTTTTAGAACAAGCTGGAACATCCATTTTTAAGTATAATGTGAGAGTCAAATGTGTATTCCTGAACACTTGGTAATAACTGAATTATATTAAAATTACATATGGAATTCCAGAATCTATCTACAAACGATACCTTCGAAGCCCAAACATGAGCAGATTTATTCTATGGAGATTCTGTAAAATTCATAGATGAAGGATTTTTAAGGGAACGTAGGGGAAACACTTTCCAAGGAAAGAAGAAACTATCACCATGAGGAAGAAGCCTAATGGCCTGTTTCAAAAGAGCGCAGACTCTAACTTTCCTTTGGAACTTAGACATCATCTCAAAACTGCATGCAATTCATTCTCGATTTTGAAGAAGGAAACCCAGGCTGGAGAAGTTCCGCCATTTCTCCAACTGGAGTATGCCTTTGTGTTATTTTCTTTGTACTCCTGACACATGCATATCCGTTTAGTCATTCTTTTACCCATAAGGTTTAATTGTTTCAATTAAAATGTAAGCTTAGGCCACTTATGATTTTGCATAAGTAATCATGGTAGTTAATATGTATTCAGATTGTAATATCTGGCAAACAGTTTATAAGCTTGTTTCCTTTAATTTTCATACTTCCTGTCATATCTTGGTCACCTTTTAAGTCAGGAGAACATTAAACAAATGGCATGGCTTGGATGTTTGGGTTCACAAAATTTAATGTAGAAATTCTGACCTCCAATGTGTTTGTACTCAGAAGTGGGCCTTTGGAGGACAGCGAGCCCACAGGCAGAAAACACACAGAGGGGGCCAAGTGCCACTGGAAGAAGCCTTTGGGTGTATTTGTCCCTTGCTTCTGTGCGAGGGGACAGCAAACTGATGGCATTCGGGAGCCAGGAGGCAGCTCCTCACCAGAGAGCAAGTGGTCAGTGCCTTTATCTTGAATTTCAGAGCTTCCAGAACTGTTAGAAATAATTGTGTAGAATGTATAAGGCACCAGATTTTGGCATTTTGTTCCTGCAGCCCATATGAACTAATCCATTTATATATTCAATATCTCACAGTTAGTGGAGTGTGCCTAAAAGTGAGTCCATCATACCTAAGGATAGACCATGGGTCTTAGACTGCAAAACGAGTGCACATTCTGAATCACGGAAAGCTCTAGGATTGGCAAGATAGCTCAGTGGATCAAGCACCTGCTTAGGCAAGTGCAGAGACCGGGGTGTGATCCTTGGCACCAAATGTCATGCCAGTCCTGCTCCCAGGTGCACTGAGCTGGCCCCCAAGAGTGAGTGTGGCAGTGCATGCCTATAGTCCTAGCACTGGGGAGGCTGAAAACACCATACAAATTTGAGTTGTGTAGTGAGACTCTTTGCCAAATGTATAAAAAAACCCAACCAACCAAACAAACAAAAATCCCAAAAAACAAAGCTCTAGGTTTACCATGACTGCGACAGGGAGTCTATAAATTACAGAAACAGAAATCTGAGTTTAAAGAAACGTACAGATTGAACCATCTCAATTATTTCTGGTGTTTCTAAAGGCACAGAGTACTTAATAAGCACAAAGACAACACAGCATCATGAACCATAGGGACCAGGGCACTCCGCGGCCTCCTGAGCTCTGTGCTGCAGATGCCGGACACTCCAGGGACTGCAGCGTGCAGTATCACAGAACAGCTCATAGCCTACATAGCAAGAAATTTCGCTTTTTATAAGACAGCATACTCTTCCAGACTCATGTCTATTCATTGTATTAGTGAATAATTCCCTCTTTTTCATATAAAATCCACAAAAGTGGCCTTAGATTGCTCTGCAAGTCCTTCAACTAGAAGAGTTTCCTCAATGAATAATTTAGAGTGAGTAAATGAAGACAGTGTCCATTCCTCAGACTTGGGCTGGTGACACTTGGCTTGCTGACCACTCTTATCTCTAATTCTGGGGAAGTTTTGATTAACTATGGCCTCTTCCCAACAAGGGTGGGAGAGTCCCACTGTTCCCAATTTCAACTCATAAATTTTCTTCTAGGCTCTGATATTCTTTTATAGAACTGCTGATGATAGCCTTTAACTTTTGTATGAATAGTTTAAAGTTAATTACACAGAGGTGTTTCCTCCAACAAGACTTATTTGTAGGAGGCTCAATGATGTACCCAGGTAATTGCTATAATGTACCAAGGCAATTTGGCATGGTGTACCAGAGCTAAAGATGTAACTCAGAGGTACAGCGCTTGTATAGCATGTTCAAAGCCCTGGGTTGGATCCCTAGCATTGAAAAAATAATAAAATAAAATAAAATACTCAAGGTTGGCAGGGAGAAGAATATTTTCACCTATGTGTTAAATGAGGACCTAAATGCACATCGGTTTCCATAAGCTACTGAGTTATTTCTTAGAAAGCTCATACTGAGTCATTGTAGGGGATAGATTTTCATGCAAAAATAAAAACGTGTTCTTTATCAGATTAAAGCAGAAATGATCTAAGATCATTTGATTAAAGAGCTGTTAGCAGTGTCTAATTTCAAATTACACACCGAGGGACTCTAGCTTTGAAAGGAGCAAAGATGTAGATTTGAAGTGCCCAAATATTGATTAAAGTAGAGAGGTAATATGTATTTTTTGAGAGATAATATTTATTAATGCTTGCTTAATGAGTTTTTCTTTTGTATCAAAATGCCTGTTTTGCCTTTTCTCGGTCACTATTTTAGGCCTCGGGGGTAGCTGGATAAGGCCCAAGTCCTCATGATGTCCTGGAGAAGAGAAAGAAGAGGAACAAGAAAAACAAGTACATGGACTAATGCATATCTGAGGTAATGTTGAAACAAGCACTATAAAAATGAACATAAAGAGGCAGTGATAGAGAATGGTGCAGGATATAAAATAATTAAGATAGGAAGCTCAGAGCATTGGAGGGACATAGAGGAAGGCTCATGTGCAGAGAGAAGTATTCTCCAAAATGCACCAAGAACATAATAGCCAGATTGTTCTCTCTGGCTAACAAAGTTGATGATATTTCTGCTTTTAACTTCTAATTGTTTAGGTCTTGACTCATTCCAGAATGCTATAAGGTAGATGGATTCCCCTTTTCTTTTGTTGTAGTTGAGGGATGGTGGCTTCTTCTTCTTCTTCTTCTTCTTCTTCTTCTTCTTCTTCTTCTTCTTCTTCTTCTTCTTCTTCTTCTTCT